ATAGATATAGATATAGATATAGATATAGATATAGATATAGATATAGATATAGATATAGATATAGATATAGATATAAATGTTTTCTTAAGTTTTTGCGGGTACTTACATGTATGGTATTCAGCTTTGTTCTGGTACAGCAGTAGGCTAGCCCCAAATTTAAAACTGAAACAGCTGTAAAAGTCTGACTCACAGACGAACACAATACAGAAGCCTGATGATGGCAGATGAGATTCTGCCGAAACGTTGCTACAACTTTAAAAGCACAACTATAATGACGTGGGAAAATACCCGAACAAAGCTGAATATCATACATAGATATAAATATATATATATTTAAATTAATAGAGAAACAGCTTGATATAGTGAATATCCAAACAGCCAAATTAAGAATGCCTAAAAGGCCAAGATAATAAAGAGAGGCCTTCAACAGCTTCCCTGCACAGGTGGACACGGGCCTGAGTGCTCGCTGTTGTGCCGCTGGATGGGTAAGGCTGTGAGGGTTAAGCCAACAATAATACACGGATGGCCTCGAATCTAATAAGAAAACGAGGTGTAATAATTCCTTAGGTTATCAGAAGGAAAAACCTCTGATCAGGAAGGAAAACTACCTCACACAGCTCGAGTTACAAATAGCGCGGCCACACAGTTTTTAAAAACAAAGGCAAAAACAATGGCCGTTACTTTTGGCGCGCGCGCGCTTCCCAACAACAAACTCCCACCGCGTGGAGAAATGCCTCCGACGGCTTCTCCCTATGGCTAAAAGGAACGGCAGGGAAAGAATTCTTACTGCTTTCCACACCAAGATGGCGTTCTGAGGGGAAAAATCAAATGACTCGGATGAGAGCGAAAATGCCCACGCCGCTATTGCCGATATAGAGAAAGGCAATGTGGAATCACAATGGCAGGGGTAGAACAAGCAGAGGGGGGGGGGGGGCTTGGAGCAATGTCGAAGCCGCCCGCCGCTTTGGGCGTGAACAGAGCTGCCCGAAAATGCAAATGATCTCCGACGACCAGATGGAGAGAGCTAATATAAGGAGATCGTAATGTGATTTGGAGGCTAAAAGCCTGAAAAAACAAACTGGATTATATCCAAACCTGCTGAGTAATACTCCTGTTTCAGCCAAGGAAGAACAAAAAGCACTGCCTATCCACAACGAGGCTGAGCCAAAACTGGGGAATGCTGGGGAGGAGTCCCGCGGAGGAGGAGGAGCATTCCACAAATTAAGCCCAGCCTAGACATGCAGAGACTAAAGCACCTCCTGGATGCTCTGAACAGTTCATGGGAGAATCTACAGGTTTCTATTTCTTGCTGGCTTCTCATCCAATAACCAACCAGGCTCAGTCCTACATAACTTCTGAGACCAGACACTGTCAGCCAGGTGTGGCATGAATAACACATTACTATGGAAGCTTCTGAAAGGCACACCAGAACAAATGCTTCAAACAGGAAAGGCTAGGGAAGATTTCTTACCTTTATCCCTTCAATCCTGAAACCCAGACTAGCACTGGAGCTGATGGTCTCCCTCCATTGCATGTACCGAGGTTTGGTCACTGCATGATGTGTGTTCTCTTCAGCGGTGGGTGCCAAAGGGTCCACATCTATCATCTTCTTATACATATCTTTACGGAGCTTCGGTTTTTCTCGGGCTTTAGTCAATTCTTCCTCCAAGTACGTCCTACAAAAACAATGGGATGTTGAGCATCTCTCTAACTCTAGCAACCACAACAAAAGCTAGCTTTCATTTCATGCTGTCTATGCCATATAATGCACCATTCCAGTTTTACAGGCAAAGAGAATTAACAACCAAAGTAGAGCTCTCTTTTCATGATTATTTAGGTTAGGATCAGGGCAGCTACCGTCTGGGTAAAAGAAAAATGGTGTAGCCAATGAGATTTTAGTTTTTCTTCAAGTCCAAGAAGATACCTTAAATCAAAAGAATCAGAATGATTTAAGATTTTATTTGAGGGGTCCATTATGTGTTTTCCAAGTTTGTTGTTGATTTCTTGCATACATATCATTACCTAAAGTAGGCAACATCATTACTGTTTTGGGTTTTTTCTCCCTTTTTTTTCACAGTATAAGATCTCTATATTGATTTTCTTTTCTTTTTTTTAAATTGTGGGTTGTCTAGATTGTGAACTGATTTACGATCTTTATAGAAAAAAAGTATAAAGTATATGTTAAGTAATCCTAATAAGAAGGCATTGGCGTCTTAGTACAGCTAGCTAATTTCATTCAGAATGGAAGAATGTGATATTTTATGACAGACTCAAGACAGACCACAAAAAACACAATGAAAAGAAGACTGATTCCATAGTTTCCCCCCCTAAAAAATGAAACTACCCAGCTCTAGAAAAAGAAAAAAAAAAAGTCAGTTTGTTTAACTGAGGGAGTATTTTTCTAAAACTTTTTTGATTAAAGTTTTCTTTAAAAAAAAAACCTGTTTCAAAAGAAACGAATTCTTCATTATTAACTTTTAGTCCTGAACTTGTTTGGAGACTATTTTTAGGGAAAAACAATTTGATGAGAAATATTTAAATATATTTCAAAGAATTGTATAGCTTTTTCCAACATTTTCCAACAACTTTTCGTTGAACAGAAGCATAATATTTGGACAGAGCAACTATGTAAAAAATGTTATTTAGTATGTGGCAGGAGGGAACAAAGCAACAACACATTTTTAACAGGACAATGTAAATATTTCTTCCAGTTTGAAACTTTTATAAAATTTGAGCAACTTTTTATGGTAGGGACAATGACAATCTCACAATGCAAAATGAACATATGAATATATATTTCATTTCATTTAATGAAATCCTGCTTCAAGTATATTTTAAAGCCACAATCTGTGCATGTTATCCCCAAAAAATAGCATGTATGTTGAAAAAAAATTGACTCCATCCCTAGAAACACTGAAGTGCAAGTTGTGACAATTCAGTTTGGATGTTAGTTTCAATACATGCATACAATCAATTCACGGTCCTTTATCCAATGCACAGAAAAATAGTTCATAACTTGATTGAGACCCGACATCACGCTCAGAGATAATTCAGCTGAAGCTTAACCAGTGAAACATCAATTCTTCTATCATTCTTGCTATTGATATGTCCAAATTGAGTAAATCTTGCTAGAACATGCCACTCACTTCCATGAATATGTCCTATATGCAGTTCAGTTTCTGAAAATGATATAGGGCTTAGAAAGTGGTGTTCTTTATAAAGAAAATATTGGCCATTCAGGATAAACAGAAAATCTGGCCGCAAACTTGTTTCAGGATTGTTTTTCAGCAATAAAATTACAAAATTGAAAAATAGAAAACATATTAATAAACCTAGAGAGAACAAGCAAGCAGCCTATAGGGGAGCTTAAATTACAGGTGCTGCTTCTCAAGTAGTTATTTTTCAAAAATGTCAATAACTCAGATAATATAATAGAAAGGGATCTGCTGTTGACCTTCCAGAGCAGTCTAAGGACACCTAGCTTCCAAATTATCCAAATTATCAAGCAAATTATCCACAATGAGATGGGAAGCTGTTGTTTAAGATCTCCCACCTGACTCCCATTTTACAATCCATCACACAAGGCCCTTCAAAATTAGCTAGAAGATCATCCAACTGTAAATAGGACTCGCCATCTCTCTCCACCACACCATGGAAGACAGGGACACAGGAACGCAATGAATCTTTCATCAGCAGTTCAAAGCATTTCTCCTCGTTCTCACAGTAGCGTTTCAGAATCGTCCCTCCATCGGCTGCTTTGAAACTTCCTGCAGAAACAAAACCATGATGTTACTGGAATTTTCAAAGGCCTCTCTCTTCACAGTTCAGCTGCAATTACCACCAGCAGCACCATAACCCCCTATCCAGTTCTGCTCCAATTTAGTGGAAATATAAGTCAGCACCCTGTAAAAAGAATAACTCAAAATAAACAAGATTTTTGAAAAAGGGCAAAGAAGAGCAACTAAGATGTTTAAAGGCCTGAAGGCTAAAACATATGAAGAATGTTTGGAGGATTTGGGTTTGGCTTATCTAGAGAGAAGAAGGACTAGGGAAGACATGATAGCAGTATTTGAGTAGCTGCCACAAAGAAGAGGCGGTCAATTTATTTTTCAAAGCAAAAGAGAGCAGAACAAGAAACAATATATGGAAACTAATCAAGGAAAAAAGCAACCTTTGGAATTGAGGAGAAACTTCGTAACAGTGAGTACAATTAACCAGTGGAACAGCCTGCCTTCAGACGTTGTGGGTGCTTCATCACTGGAGGTTTTTAAGAAGAGACTAGACAGTCACTTGTCTGAAATGGTATAGGATCTCCTGCTTCAGCAGGGGACTAGACTAGAAGACCTACAAGGTCCCTTCCAGCTCTATTATATTCTGATTCTAAAGAAAGCCAGGCAATAAACAGCTATTTCATAAAAATCCTCTGAAAAACATCTACCGGAAACATTTAACTATATTTAAGTCCAGATACACATGGCTGCACAAAAGCTCAAAAGCTTCACAGAACCAGCTACGTAATGACTCAGGAGCCAGATCTGGTGATTAAAAACACACTGTCCTGCTGCTATGATTTGAATTGATTATAACTGAAATAGTGGCCAATGGTATTATAGTATTTGAAACCAGGTTAGATATAAGAACAAGCTTCTGTTAATGGGATACAGTATATGCTGAAAGCTGACCTTTGGAATGCAGCATACATTTTAATCAATTCAAAATAATTTGTTGAGAAAAGGTAGCCATTTTGTTAGCATGTGTTCCCCAACTCCTACCCGAGAAGCTGGAAAGAACAACTCTGTAATCTCTACAAATTTTGAATTCAAAGCATGAGTCATGTTTGGATAATCGAAAGATAGATGAAAATATGTTTATAAATCACATGCCAATTAAATCATGGTGAATTTTGAGAGAGTTTTTATGATCGCTTTTATATTTAAAAGCAATAAAATATGATGTTAGGAAATCTGAGGTTTCAAAGTTCTTGTAAGAATTCGGTCACGTTGGAACAGCTCCACAGTCCCAAATAGCCCATAAGCCAACTGCATGATATATCTAATATTTTAATGAAGTCCACTTTTATTTATGTCATTATTTAAATGTGCATGGTTATTAATTCTCAAAACCCAGTATAGATTTTTTAAAAGAAGGAATAATGTAAATACTCTCTTATCTTGCTCTGAATATTTAGAAATAAATGATCAGCTCCGATTATGAGTATTTTTTTTTAACTAGGAGTTCTGCAGGCAGAGTCAAAGTTTTCAATTTCATTCATAATTCAAAGTTCTCACCTGTGTGACCAGCCAGCTGAACCCAAGAATACCGCCTTTTGAAGGGACTGATGACTGGCAAATTGACAATTGTCTTTATTGTCTGCCATGCCTTTTTCTGAAACACAAAAAAATAAAAGGTAATTGCATATGAACATCTAGACATTGTATGAAGGCGGGTAGCATTTAGTTATTGTTACAAACCTCCATCAATTTCCAAAATAACCCACCATTAGATAAATCAGGCCTCCATTTAGAGATACTGATAATCCTAATAAATTTAGAAGGCATATTAGTTAAAGGCTAACCAGGTGTAGGATTTATTCATGTTATCTAAGATTCATCAATATAAAACTAATTAACAAAATCCTGTTTAAATGAAACTCGGGCATGCTGTCCTTAGGCTCATATGGAGTTCTGCTTTGCATTTTTCTGGATCACATTATCCTTAGCTCAATAATCTTTTTTTTTCCCTTCCTTAAATATAAATAAGCAACAAATCCAGGCACTGCAGGGGCCAACTGAAATACAAAGAATTCCTTGAAAGATTATAGAAGGACCACGCCTAGTTTTGAACAGGCTCCCTTTCTGGATCAAATTCATAGGGTTATGTACTTTCTCCACTGACTAAATGAAAGCAGGTTATTCATATAGAACCTAGAGTTAAAATCTTTGTTTATTTTCCATGGTGAATAAATACAAATGTGTGTGGGTACATCAAAGATCAAGGCAATTGGCTAGGTGAGAAAAAAAAATCCTTCTAAGCACAGATTGTCATCCCATTAAAACAGATCCTGTTGCTCAAATCAGCTGCTGACCCAAGTTCTTGCAAAACGCATATTGTTTCTGCAGGGATTGTCCAGGTAAAATGCTTTTCTCTCTCTCTCCATCCTACTTGCAAACAATCATATGTTAATTTTATTAAGTGCAGTAAGTGCGTATTTTATTTAAAAATATTTTAGGGCAGAACACTGTAAGAAAAATGGCATAAGGCTGATGGACAAGCTTTAACAATTGAGGTTTTTTTTTAAAAAAAAAGGGTTAGGAATGGAGAAGGAATCTTCGCTTAGCCATCCTACACTGCTTAATTTTCACAACTCCTGGGGTTTTTCTTGTTTTTCTCAAACAAAAATTCAACTTTCTTTTTAAACAAAATCATGCATTTTGCCTACCTCCCTAAATTTTCATATTCAACAGTATAAGCCTACGCAAACCCACTAAATGCCTTTATGATAATGAGAAACAAAAGAGGTAAGACTAATTACGATTCATCCTTTTTCTTTTTTTTTTTCACTTTTGTACAACCTTAGAGAGGAGCTGATAATTCCAAGGTTCATCATGTTACAGTTAAATATGTGCAGAATGTGTTACGTTGCCACATTTGGAACAAGTCTTACTTTACCAGATCAGATTCATCTGAGAAGCCAAAGGAAAGACATAATTGTGGTTATCTGACTTATAGCTAGAATAATAACCTTCCCCAAACTGGTGCCATTGTGATGGGAAATACTAAAAACTCCATCATACCCTCCAAGCCAGCATGCTGCCTAGGGATAATGTGAATTGTACAAATATACTAGAAGATTCCAAATTGGGAAAATTGCACTATCCCATTCATTGGATATAGAGAGCACAGGTACACAAGACTTATCGGCTTAAAATGTCCCTGCAGCTCAGCCTTTATAAGGCTGGAGAGAAAATGACAAGAACTATTCTTGTTGTGCAATCTCAGGATTGATCAACAAGATACAACATGCAAACTTGGGAACCACTCCAATTTCTTTTCTTTATTCTGGGGATATCAAAGATAGGATGACATTAGTTTCTCTTCTTTTCAATTCAGCTACCTAAGCAAACCCAATTCAAGTAATGCATAAAAATAGAGCTATAGTTCTCCTCACCTTCTGTGTCTGCCTTTGGAAGAAGCAAATTATTTTATGACTTAATTGCTCTATAATCATTCCAGAGAATAACTACCGTTCTGCCAGCAACATTACTGTTTTTGTTAAAGAAACTGTGTGCCTAGTCTAGAATGCAGCTGCTGTTAAATTCCCAATAGAGTTAACTAAAAACTCCAGAAATAACTTAGCGGACCTTTTTACACCTAACAACACAGGGATTATCTTTCTAATGCCTTTTTTTCTTTTTGCATATTTCATAGAAGTAGACTTGTGAAATCCCATGCTGTGGGGTCTTCTTTGTATAGAGACACCCATGTCAATTCCTCCTCAGCAACCTTACACTGTCTAATTTCATATGTGATTAGTAGCCTCCTTTTTCTTCTTTTCCTTTCTACAATTTCAATTCGCCTCCAACTTCTTTTTAGCTTCTTAGTCCATTTCAACTGCCCTCTCCCCCTTTCATGTGACTGTCTCTCTTTTGAAATTAGATTAGATTAACAGAGTTGGAAGGGACCTTGTAGGTCATCTAGTCCAACCCCCTGCCCAATCAGGAGACCCTACACCATTTCTGACAAATGGCAGTCCAATCTCTTCTTGAAGGTCTTAAGTGATGAAGCTCCCACAACTTCCGTGGGCAAGCTGTTCCATTGGTTGATTGTTGTCATTGTCAGAAAATTACTCCTTATTTCCAGGATAAATCTCTCCTTATTCAGTTTCCATCCATTGTTCCTTGTCTGGACTAATTCTTTCATCTAGGACAGCGGTGTCAAACTCACGGTGCATGGGACAGATACATCACATGCCTGATTTAGCAAAGGGGAAAAAATCCCAGTATGTCACATAACGCCACCATCATGGCGCGAGTTTGACACCCCTGAGGTGTCTAGTGGGTTAGGTGGCAGGCTGTGTCTAACTCTTCCATTCTGCCACAGTTCCGTTAGCATAGAAGAGACCAGCATTAAGAGGGTCAGGTTGCTGACTATACGACTAGGTTATGATGCAACATGATGACTCAATTAATCTACCTTCTGGATATGCATAATACAGTGAACTATAAATTAATCAAATAGGTTGGATGTAGATATCATGCAAAACTACAGCACAAAACAAAAACAAATCTTATGCAAGCTTAATTCTAATCATTGTGAAAATCCAGCTGCTAGGAGTTCAACTGATTCTGTTTAGCATACTGTTTGTACAAAACCAATATCTTACAGAAATATATTAGTACAATTAGATTTGATTACCTGGCTTCCCAGACCTATACACCAATTTGTTATCATGTTTTCACAGTGCCCTGTATTCACTGTTGGCCTTTGCAGGTTTATTCAAATGTCATACTTTTTAAAAAGAATCAGAGAAAGGATTTCCAAGCACCATTCATTTCAAAAATACTACTATGTACTATGTATACATACAGTACTGGAAACCATACAACTAAAAAGTAAGATTCAGCTCCATTTAATTCAATTTTACTGATGTCTCTCCTAACAATGCTACCACTTTTAGGGATCCCAGACTTGCTAAACACAGGCCTACTCATAAGCAGAAAAACACGTGACCTTTTTATGTATCCATGTGCTTATTTACTTATAGGGATTGTATTTGTGATTACAATGAGAACCTAAGATATATAATGTGGACAATGGGCTATGCCTCTATTGCACAAAACTGGGTGTTGGCACAAAAGAGGTGGCATGTTAAATGTTGACAGCTAAGTTAAAACAGGGCATTTTACTACAAAAGGGAGAAAAAGCTTATCTTTCTTTTATTGAAATATTGGAAGAAAAATGTATATTGTGAGTACCCTAAGATCAAAACCACCACATTTTACATGCAATATTCAGTTGTTTTGAAAGATGCACTACTTAATATGTGAGCATTTCTTATAAGGCACCTCTTTGCCAGCATCCTTCAGATTAGGACATTCCCTACTGTACATCTACGTGCAGGTCCGTAGGAGGAAGACCACCACTGATGCCATTGTTTATGCTATTTGCACAGAAAGGACAGTGCAGGATTTTTCTTTGAATGGAAGCCATACAAGTACCATGTCCCATACAAACTATATGCAGTGATGTCAAGAGGAAAATAATACAATTTAAGCAATGTGGCTGGGGGAGATAGCCTATTAGTTCATAAGGAACCTTCCTCCTTTCTGAATAACTGTACTGGACCATAACTCCACTGCAGATCCCTCTGTAGAAAAACCCATTTCCAGTTTCATATCTGACAATCAGGTAATCCACATTTGTTTAGGTGCCTCATGTACTGATATCTCACTTTTGTTGTAACAAATTCCACAACATACTGCTATACAGCAATAGAGATATTCAAAAATCTACTTTTAAACCAATCTATTAGCAGCAAATTTCTTGTTAATTCTCCAGTCCAATTTCCAGCTGATAATCAGGATGTCTATATTGACCTGTGCATGTTTAACTAAATGTACATATTCTTACATAAAACGTGGGGAGTTGACACGACAGAAAAACAGCCTGTTGGCAAATAAAGGTCACTCCAGCATGTACACAGAACAAAATGTGTACAAAACAAGGCGTCAAAAACGTGTTTAATTCACACCTTCCTACTTGTCTTCATTATGCGCTGCCTCTTTTCTTAGAATATGTAAGAACAAGGTTCTTGAAGTCTTAAATCACCGCAAAAACCAGGCACTCAATATTACTAGTATTTGTGATTTGAAGGGGCAATTTACTCTGTGAAGACCAGGTTAGAAGACAGGAGACTGAGTTCTAATCCCACTTCAGGCATGAAAGCTTGGCTGGGAGACCGTCATCCGGTCGCTCTTTCTCAGCCCAAATGTCAGACCTGGGTGACAAACCAGTCAGTAAAAAACAGTGGATCACCACTCAAGTCATCTGAAAAAAGCAGGCCCTGCACTTATGGGAAACCACTAGGAAGGAGGGAAAAAAGGTACTTGGGTGAAAACATTTCTTTAAGTCCCTTCAATATTATCTTATCCAGGAATCATTTGCTCCAAGGTAAATAGTCTCTCCTACCCATGAGTCACATGTTGTCAGTGAAATTTTTCTTAGTAGGATGAGATAAGAGCAGGAACACCCCAGAACAAGCAAGCCCTAACATGATTCAACAACCACATTCACATACATTCAGGTGAATTGTATGAGAAGATGATCTGAATCTAAGAGAACTGTTCTTCATTAAATCACATCGCCTTTTTTCTCTTCCGCATACT